CAGGCTGTCCCACGGTTTTGCTGTGGGGTGCAACGTTACTTCCGGGCCCGTTGTAGACGCGACTGCAGCTTTGCTCGCCCTGGCGCGGAGGCCCGGTTGCCCAGCAGGACAGGTGATACCACTCCACCATTACCACTGGTGAGACCCTCCTCTGGTGGCCTTGTCGTCCAGCTACAATATGCACCAGTTTCAGACAGTCCCGTGGATTACAATCATGGATTAATGTCCGGTAGCACACTGCCACGTGAATCGCGCGACTGTTCGTGCGTGAGTGGCCTGTCACGACTGCAAAAAAGTCGGGTACGACTCCTCAGGATTAACATACGGTTACATACCGTCGACGGTGTGAACCCGAGGTCGGCTGTACACCTACAAGTAAAAAATTTTATGTAAATTACCTTAATGAGGACACATACTAACTAATATTAATAAATTATGTAGATTAATTTATGTTACGAGCCTTCTCTGTTGTGGTAGCACACAGAGACCATACCTATGAGACAAAGTAAAGTGAATAGTCCTCATCTGCTATAGGGGAGAGATAGAACTTTACACCATGAGTTGACTGCTTTTCGGCTGCGCTCCATCTCTGAGGTCAGTACAATAGCGCAACTTATACACCTGAGTCCGATAAAGTGATTTAACTTTCAGTCTCTGGCCCTTTAGTGAAGAGACACCGGGGAGGTTCTGGGGGTTCCCTGCCTGGTGTCTGGAGGTCGTACACAGGGACTTGTACCCGGTGGAGGTATTGGAACGGTGTGCACTCAGGGGCCTGAGGGCCTGAATTCGTGAGGGGTGCCTGATTTTGGGTCTACTAGGTGGAAAGTCTTGGAGCACGCGCGGTTTGTACTCACTTCTGGAAACTTTTGCAAACCACCCGCCCTCACGCCAATAACGCCCCTACGGCAAGATGGCTAGGCGGTCTCCCTTGGGATGTATGGCCGGTAGGTGAGAGAGCCAAAGAGTACCACCAGATAGGCTCTGTGGCGCGGTGGGGAAGACTACAGTCCACCAGTAACTATAAGTACGAAGGACCATTGGTGAACATTTATCACGCACACCTATGTAGTATAGAGCCATCAGTAGGGCGGTGACAATGTCCGGTTCTTTATTACTAATTTACGCCCCTTTCAAAAAATTTGCAGACCTTTCTCCAACATGGACAGTAAAACGGTAGCTATAGTAAATTGTAACTTGTAGGGCCTTTCGTGTCTTATAACAGGTAAGTCTCCTAAAGGTACAATTTACTATAGGACGTTTTATGGTCCGATAGTTGGGTCGCTTGTTCACAAACTTTCCGCCACCCTTTTTCAACAAAATTTTATCAGCCTTTTCACAAAAATTTGCAGACTCTCTCAACAAAAGATCGACAGTAAAAACGGTGCTATAGGTAAATTGTAACTTGTAGAGGACCGTTTACGTGTCTTATACCAGGTAAAGTACCTCCTAGGTACAATTTACTATAGCCGACGGTTTTACTGTCCGAATCATGGGTCCTTGTTCCCAAACTTCCGCCCCCTTTTCAAACAAATTTTAATCCCAGCCTTTTCACAAAAATTTCAGACGCTTCTCTCAACAATCGGACAGTAAAACGGTGCGTAATAGTAAATTGTAACTAGTAGAGGAACCTTACGTGTCTTATACGAGGTAAAGTTCCCTCTCTAAGGGTACAATTTACTACAGGACGGTTTTACTGTCCGTTTTTTTGTGGGTCGCCTATGCACAATTTCCGTCCCTTTTTCAACAAATTTTATGAGACTAATGGAGGTCCACGTGGCGTAAAAATGTTCCCCGGTCCCTTCCCACAGACTTAGACCCATTTGTAAACCAAATTTATCCGCACTGTGGACCGTGACGATAAAACCGGGACCTTGGAAGTTCGCCAATATAAGTACAAAATAATAATAAATTATTAGTGTACTAAAAAATGTTTTTGTCATATGTGTCTATATTGTATATATTGTTATTATTATTATATTGTTATAGTATTATTTTTGTCTTTTCACCCAACGTTTACTCTTTGTTACATAGGCTTTTATCACGGAAGTACTTACGTCCCGTACCACCTGTCATCGGTCTCTGAGTGTCCGTGTGTGTGTACGTCTCTAGGTCCCCCGCTCGTGTACCGAAAAAATGGGTCTTTAATTCAGAGACTCTCCGCCCCCCTCTGAGTCTCGCTGTACGACGCAGTGTCGGCGTCTCCAAACGACTGCCTTTCGTCGCGCCTTTGTTTAACTAATAAAATGGGTCCTTATTTTACCAAACGTTCCGCCCCCCTTCACAAGGACGTTCGGGGTAGGTATTGACCATTATACTAATCTTTACTTAAAGGTCTCCGTCTTTCGCCGAAAAATTTACAGCTTTTTTTGTAAATTGACAAATTTTTCGGTTTCAACTAAAAACTCACGTCAAGAGTACACAGGGGTGTCCTCCGCGTAGTAGGGTCCCTCGTGTCACGATAAATTATCATTTTTTATGTTGTTTTTGTCCCGTTTAGTTACCCTAAATTTCACGTCCCTCGAGGCGTGGTGTGTGTCCATTAAAGGATTTAGGGGGTGGTACCACTGGTGCCAACCTAAATTTGATAAAGACGGCCCCCCTTTCGTCAACGACTTTAGCCTAATTTTGGGACGAGTGTCACAACCATTTTCAGTCTAACAAAGTCTCCTGGGATCATTATATACCCAGCCCCGGCCCCAGTCACCGGAACCCCTAACCCTCTGGCCGGACCCGCTTATGGGGCCGACGACATTCAAAAAAATGTTACGGTCGATGTAGTACAACTGTTCCCATGCTAAATAATGGGATTTATCGTACGAAATTCGGCAACCCACGCTAACAAAAGTTTCGTACGTGTGAAGACGAGTACAGTCAGAAGGTAAGTTTCATCTGGCGCCCTTTGGGGGAGCTAAATCGGGAGTGTGTGGGCTTCCTGCTGATTCGGTCGAGGTAGGTCGTGTCCCCGAGGGAGTGTAACGTGTGAGACGGAGCTACAGTCGAGAAGGTTGTTTATCTGGCGCCGCTTTTGTGGAGCTAAACCGGGGGAAGCTGTGTGGGGCTTCCTGCCCTGATTCGTCGAGGTCGTGCCGAGGGAGTGTACGTGTGAGACGAGTACAGCATGAAGGTAGTTTATCCCTGGCCCCTTTTGTAAGCTAAATCGGGAGTGTGTGGGGGCCTTCTGCCTGACCCTCCTGAGGCCGTTGTCCACCGTGAAGGTATTGGAAGCACGTGGCCCCACCTCAGGGGCGCCCCGGGGGCCTGAATTCGGTGAGGGGTGCGCCTGATTTGGGTCTACTAGTTGTGAGGAATTCTTGGATACCGGGGAACCATTGGGATTTCCCCCACCCTAAAACGCGCCACCGAAATGGCAGGCGTAGCCGTAGGTTATAAGCCGGAAGAAGTACTGTGGTGGTGGGGAAGAAACCTCGCCTATAAGAGTACGGAGGACCATTGGGAAATTTATCCGAGACCTATATGGTCGCCCGAGTAGTGGCGGGAATGTTTCGGGTCTTTATTAACCGAAATTTACCAGCCCCTTTCACCAAAAATTGCAGACCTCTCTGCAACACCCAGACGAGTAAAAACGGTGCTATAGTATTGTAAATTTGTAGAGGACGCTTTACCGGGTGTCTTATACAGGTAAAGGGTCCTCTACCAGTTACCAAATTTACTATAGGAGTTTTAACCCTGTCCGGATTTTGTGGGTCCCCTATGCACAAACTTTCCGCCCCTTTTCAACAAATTTTTAATCAGCGCTTTCACAAAAATTTGCAGACCTTCTCTCAACATCAGACAGTAAACGGTGCTATAGTAACGATTGTAACTTGTAGACGGACCTTTACGGTGTCGTTATACAGGTAAAGGTCCTCTTCCAGTTACAATTTACTAAGGA